GGTTCGGTAGGTATGTCCTCTTCGTCAATTGCATTTACTACCAATTCCCGTGACAACCAGTCGGCGACCACATTGCCAACTCCTTTTTTATGAACAACATGGAAATTATACGCCGCGAGGCGTTCTTTCTAACGTGAAACCCGCTCGGATGATTCCCTCAGAGTGTCTAAGGAAAGTAAAGGTTTGTGATCAGTGATCAGCTCGAAACGTCTTCCGTATATATAGAGACGAAAGTATTCTATTGCCCAAACTACCGCTAATAATTCGCGTTCGATAGCGCTGTACCTTAACTTAACTTTCTTCTTGCATATGATATAGGCTTTTCTCCTACATCGTAATTCTGTGACGATACTGCCCCAATAGCAATTTCACTCGCGTCTGTGGTGATTTTAAATGGCCTGCGGAAGTCCTGTTCACCTTCCTGTTCACCTTGTTTTTTCTTAACAACCCATAAAGGACTATTAAAGGGGGAATAGCTATATCTGATAATTCCTTGTGTCCGTAACTCATCCAATTTTTCTCGAATAATTTCTCTCATGGCTTGGGGATACCGCCTATTCTTAACGTAGATTGGGAATTCTGTCTTCAAGTGAATTCGATGTACCGTTTTCCCCGTTATTAGCAAAACTTCGTTTTCTTTGTAGAATAAATCTTTGTTTTGTTCCACTAAATGTGTAATTGCCTGTTTTGTACATTCCACGGCCCCGATTTTAATGTCTTAGTGATTTCCCTTCTTTGTAATTCGGTACATTCGTTTCCCTATTTTATAACACCACTCCTTATGGTTAACCCTCATCTTTAAACCCACTCGCTGTAGAATATCACAACCAATAATTAAATCATAACTTGGCATTAATTGCTCAATAATGTGGATTTTTATATCCGAATCCCACTCCGTTAACTCACTAAGACACAAAGAGGATTCGCCTAAGGTCTGACATCTGCCACTAAACGTGGATACTATACATTTGCACTGTTTACGTCCGATCCAAATACCCAATTTCTCCGCTCCCTTCTTGCTAATTAACGAATTTGTACTCCCTGTATAAACCAAAAATTTGATTCCGGATTCCTCTAATCTCGCCAGGGCAACTTAGTCCGATGTTTACCCCTAACGCTATTATTAATTATCAAATTACTCTCTTGGTCGCCCCGCCCGTCGCTGTACCCTCAATCAGTACGTGGGTGTCCCGCTACTACTTTCGACCTGGAAGGATCCTCCCTCCTAGGATTCCCTCCAGTTAACTCTGTTTTTCTCGTTGCCTGGTCACTGCGCTCGGAACAGGAACTCTCCTCTTCTGAAGATTCTCCGCTGGTATAGGACCTGCCGTTCCTCCTACCAGTCCTCTGGTTACTGTAGTCCTGGTTATTAACCTCGATTGCCTCTCGTTGTGCCCTCCTGTTCGGACGAGAGTTTGGACATTGCCTGGCTAGATGCTCTCGCCTGCCGCATTCAAAACATCTCGTAAGGTTGCACCGGGCTGCTATATGACCAGTCTGGTTGCATTCATAACAACGTTGTTCTGGTTTACGCCTTCTCTCATCGGGGAACCTGCTCGGCCATCTATCAAATTTTATATTTTTATTGACCTGCCTGGGCGGACTTCTTTATTTCCTCCTCGGTGATTTCAATTCTATCCAATCTGTTTCCTGTTTCTCGAAGCGCGTTTCTTCTCTTTCCTTAGAATCTATGAGATCGTGCGTACACTCAATAAAATCTCGATCTCTTGGTAGTGAACCGTTACGATCCACGTAGTGATTCAGTTGTACCTTTAAAATATCTTTCAGGAATTCTAGTTTCTGTGCTCCCTCCGCTTGGCCGTAGGTTTCTACCATTTTCTCTGTCAATTTATTATATTGAATTAGGAGTTTTTCTGCAAAAACACCTTCTGATTGGCCCTGGTTTCGTCGCTCCTTAAATAGATAAAACACGTCTTCTTCTGGGGTCCATCTTCCTCCACCGTATAGTTTCTTTATTCTTACTTTCAAGGAGTCCCAGGAACATGTTAGATCGCCTTGGATGGCGTTTAATACTCGTCTAGTAATTTCGGATGTCTCTAGTAATTTCACATCAGACTGTTAATGTGCCAGCTTCATGCCGGGATAATATCAAGGCTTTAATTTGGTCTGCTCCCTTAATAAAATGTTCAAGGTCCCCTACTATTCCAGTAAATGGTCCCAACTGACCAATTACTTCATGTATAAATGTAGAATTTTGTGTTCTAATCTTCAGCAATTCTAATTTCGTCGTCTCTGCCGCGATAGATAATTGTGATTCTAATTTCGCTAATTCCGCTACAGCCTGAGCCAGCTGATGCTCCAACTTCATTATCTGCTCAGCTTCTCCCATATTTATACAATTTCACTAATAGTTCGTATGAAATTGGTACTCACAGTTTCAAATTTCGCACCAGCCAACTGCTAAAGTGATGTTAAAGTAATTTCCTTAGTTTCGGCACCAATTATGATTAGTAACATGAGAAACATTAAATCAATATTAACAATGAGATTTTATAACTTTTATTGCAGGTCAACCTTATCAAAACAATCAACATAATAATCGATCACCTGTCAATATATCTTAACACTAAAACATATTTTATATTATGCTAACTTAGTGATTGGAGAGAGAAAGCCTTTAGGCCTACTATAGGAAGAAATAGCCTTCATGAGAACTCTAACGACAATGGAAAAAGTGTGGTGAACTTCGCAGCCTCTAAGGGTTTGGTTGTGGGAAGTACTTATTTCCCGCACAAGTTAGTGCATTTAGAAACATGGAGGAAATTCGGACGGAACGGATCTATTACAAGCGCTCAGATCGATCATGTACTCGTCAGCGCTAGATATAAATCCTCATTACTAGATGTTTGCACAAAATGAGGGGCTAACATTAACTCGGACCACTACCATATAATTGCGAAAATAAGGTGTTGGATATCAATAGTGAAGTACCAGCCTCGACATTCTCTGACAAAGTACAATGTTGAAAAGTTAAAGGACAGTGATACAAGCATTAGATTCTCACACCAATTGGACATCAGATTAAGGAGCTCTGTTCAAGAATCAAACCTCGAGGCACAATGGAACTCATGCCACACTGTGCTTATGAAAGTAGCGAACGAGGTTGTTGGTGATAAGACCAAGCAAAGGTATAACCCCTGGTTCGATGACGAATGTGCTGCTGTGACCAAAGAACCATGCTGCTGCTGTGACCAAGAGGAAAAACATCGCATACAATAAAACGATGCATAGAAAGCACACATGGAGCTCTGTTGAGGAATGCAGAGCAACGAGAGGTATGTCCATAGGAGGAAGAAAAGACGATGGGAGAATAAGAGTCTACAGGAGATATATATAAGAGGCCTTCATCTCAAAAAATACTAGAGAATTCTTCCAGGTTGTTAATAAAGGAAGAAAGCCCTTCATCGTCCGTACCACAGGATGTAGAGCAAATGATGGTTCTTTGGTAACCGATAAACAAGGCATTTCGGATAGATGGGCTGAATACTTTTCAACCCTTCTTAACAGAAATGGCACAAATGTCTCAGAGGCAAATGATCCAATTGCAGGTGGTGAAGACCTAGAACCCCCAGACGAGGAAGAAATCAATGAAGCCATAGAAGGACTAAAAAGCAATAGAGCCCCCGGCATTGATAACATCCCTGCAGAGTTCTATAAAAATGGAAGTCAAGAACTCATAAAACTCCTCCAGGGAATGTTTCATGCCGTTTGGGTTGATGAAGAGCTTCCAAGTGATTGGAAAAAATTCATTATATGCCCTGTGTACAAAAAAGGGGACGTCTATCAATGTAATAATTACAGAGGCATATCCCTTCTACCCACCGCCTACAAAAATTTTTCTAGAATTCTTTATAGTAGAATAATTTCTTTTGCCGAGGCTGAAATCGGAAAATACCAGGCCGGATTCATCAAGGGTATATCAACAATCCATCAAATATTCACCTTGCAATCCTTCTGGAAAAAACCAAAGAATACCAAATTGGTACACATCACATCTTCATTGATTTCAAGGAAGCATATGATTCCATAAACTGTGAGGAAGCATACAAAGCAATGATAGAAATGATTGTACCTAAAAAACTTGTAAGGCTTGTTAGAATGACAATGGAGGGTAATGAGTGTTTCGTTCGAGTACAAGGTGATTTATTAAAGGGGTTTAGAACATCGAAAGTGTAAGGCAGGGAGACACTCTGGCATGTCTGGTATTCAACTTTACTCGTGAAAAAGTCATAAGGGATTCTGGTATCCAGACTACAGGAACCTTCCTAAATCGAATGACCCAACTCCCTTTGCCTTACTTGATCTTCCAGGGGCCAGCCCCGCACTGACGAGGATGGCTGGGATTCACCAGGCGAAAGAGCTTCCGCTCCCCCAACCGGTTTCACCCTACCTCTCCCCGCCACCCCGCGGCTGGCTCCCTTCCGTCTAGCAAGGTGACTAATTGGTGGCAGATCCTCTGAGCCACCATAGTTAGGAGCTTTAGCCTCAATGCCTTCCAGGACCTCCTCCTCATCCTGTGGCATTGAGAATTCTTCCTTATTTTGTTCTTTCAATACTTTAAAAGTGACTCGGCACCAGCCATAACCAGCTTTCATGCCGTGTTATTTGAGGCTTTCCAAGCTGGAGTCAGGGATTCTAACGATGGCAAAGAATCCCTTGTCCATCTCTTTAAGATAGTGCAGATACTACTCATTCACTCCTTCAATTGTAGTATTTTGTGTTCTCAGCCTTTTCATTTGGGCCTCCTCGGTAAGTACCTACCCGGAAAGAAGGCACCTATCTTTGAGGTTTTTGTTCCTGTTCCTGGGCATCCCCTGTGCGAAAGGTGATTCTCTCCGTCAAGTTGATGCTTGGGATGTTTTTGGCCAGCCATGTGCATGTTTCGTTGTTCATGCATGCGACAATTCCTCCCCCATCTTGTAGCTAACGCCATCAAAAGTGGGTGGTATTCTCCATGCTCGTCAAGCTCATCCACCTTATCAGCGATGAGTTCTGGCTGAGGCATAACTTCTGGTTACTGCTTCTCTGGGTTTTTTGGCAATAGGTGCCGAGATTCCCAGTGAGGTTCTTTGCCTTTTGCCCGTCACTGGGACCAGCCCCGGGCCTCCACTGGCGTCTTTAGCTGGTGGTACAGAGGTCGACCCCATCTGGGTCAAATGTTTTCTTGGAGCCTTTGCAGCGGGCAGTTCAGCTTTGGTAGCCGATCCATAATTGGCCCTTGCAACTTTAGCCTCCGCCCACTACTAGACTCCTTGATATCTTGTTGCGTCCTGGGAACAGAGACCTTCATGTCGGACTCCTAGGCCTTGTTTGCAGGGTCTGGGATGACCCTTGCATCCTTAGCCGAGTGCCCTAGTGTAGGTCTCGCTTCCGGGTGTGTTTTTAAGATGATTTTGGCAGCCATTCTGTTCCTTCTTTGCCGCCTTCTCATTGTTTTAGTCTGTTTCAGTGTGGCAGGGACTGCTTCTTTCGAAGCGAGTCCACTGCCTACCATCTGAATTGTTGAGTCCGCCAGGCCTGTTATTGGGCCTGTCTCTTGTTAGTTTTGTGAAGGTAGAGCAACAGCTCCAGCCTCAGCTGTGGTCACCCTCTTGATTTCCTCTCCTTCATAACAAACTTGAAGTCCCTCAACTTCGGTCGTGAGAGATCTGAAAGTATCTCCAATCGATGCCTCATCGAGGGTAATATCAAAAGAAGTCCCTGACAAGTCAGGGTGTTTACGTTCCAAAGAACAAGAATCTCACGTCCTGTCATTTGAGTTTAGTTTTATATGGTTTATTTTCCTGCATCTTGTTCCCACAAGTATGGGGGGAAAATAGACTGTAGGTACTGCCCCCTCTCCCTACAGCCGGCTACTATGAAATGAGGGGTCGCCTGGTGCCCCAAATGGGTCGATAAAAGACATTGTATTTTTACCCACCCCCTGCCACTCAGCCTCAGCTCGAGCTCCCGTACCTAGCTTGGGTGCCTAACAGCTTCGTTGCATCCATCTCACATATATATATATATATACACATATGCACATACAGACGAACCCCGCATCTGTCGTCCGCGACTCCCATCGGACTCCCCGGGGGGGGAGGGGACCACATGGAGGTGACAGTAGGCGTTGATAGGGATAAGGAGATCTGGGATTTTTTTTTTTTCACCTGGCCATTTCTGGCATACGGGGTTCGGTGACAGTAGGGTAGTGCGCATGGGATTTGCGCATGCCACTGCCGCCAATAAGCTCTTTTTTTCTCTTTATTTATATGTTTATATTTATACATGCTTTTTGGATATTTATTTTTAGGGACAATATAGAGTAGCTGTGGTGCAGCCCAGCGTGCGGTTGCACGCCTTAGGAAGGGACTGCACCTTCTCTTACTTCTTCTTCTTCCTCCGTCGCTTCCTCTACGGCTTCCGGCGGGCGTCCTCTCCCAAGGGTGAAGTGCTCCGGGCCCACCGCCTCCTTCCATCTCTTGATGTACTCAGTGAAGTAGGGGTAGAAGAATACCACATCAGCCTCAGTAGGTCCACCTCTTCCATCGCATATAGTCCTGTCATCCTTGACAGCCAAGCTCTGTGCCCAGCCATCTTTCCGCAGCTCAGGACTACATGCTCCGCTGTGTCCGGAATCCCACAAGTGGGGCACAAGGGGTTGATGTTCTTCCCATGCTCGTTCAGCTTGGCTCTGAAACCCCCGTGCCCCGTAAGAATCTGAGACGTCCAGTAGTCCGGTTTCACCCACTTCGCCTCCATCCTGGAACTGAGGGTAGAACCCTTTTCGCTTCTCACCCACCGCTCGTTCCACTCCCGAAGTGAGTCCTCCTCCACCAGCTTCTTCCATCTTCCTGGCTCCTCCTCAGCCCCTCGCCGTAATCCCTCCGGAAGCGAACCGAGTCCGTGTCTTTTGACATCGAACCTGATTACGTCTTCCTTTGGGATCAGGTCGATGGGCATCTCTCCGGCCAGTATCTGGACCGCCTCATGCGACACCGTCCTGTAAGCCTTTGTGACTCTCAGCAGGGCCAGTCTCTGAATGGTTGCCAGCTTTCCACGCTGCTCTTTTGTCAGCCGCCGACTCCACGCAGGCGATGCGTACCTAATTACACCTAGTACCACTCCTTTGTAGATTGTTCTGGTCGCTGGGTACTTCACCCCCCAGAACGCACTACCTATCCTCGACATGCCATTTAGTGTGGTGGTCACCCTTCCTCTCAGGTATGCGATGTGTGGGCTGGGGTCGAATGATCTTCTGAACCTCACCCCGAGGTTCGTTACCTCCTCACACGCGCGCACCCTCGTTCCACCTATGTCTAGGTTGATTGGGTGGGCTCTGTCGGTTATCTCCTTCAGCAGCATCGCCTGTGTCTGCTCGGCCGCCATCCTTAACTTCCTCTTCTGGCACCACTCCTCTACTAGGATGGCCAGTCCTTCGGCTTCCTCCTTCACTCTGGCCCTACTGTTCGCCGTCACCAGCACCGCCAGGTCATCCACGTATGCAATGGCTCGGTACCCCTTCTCCTCCATCTCGCCAAGCAGCTGATCAAAAACTAGTTTCCACAGTGCTGGCCCGAGTACCGAGCCCTGCGGGCACCCTCTCTCGATCCCCCTCTCCACCTCGAAGGAGTTACCCCGGATCTTCACTCTCCTATCTTTAAGGTAACTGCCCACGAGGGAGTATAGATTGCTGGGGGCATCGTACTCTTGGAGATCTGGGAACTCACCAGCAGTGGGTAGGGCACTGATGCTCGATCGTTCCGCAAAGAGTGGGGGAGACTTCCGCACCCATCTCCCTCTCTAGACCTCCCGTTACCCTGCCCATTTGCTCCCCTTCTGGCCATAGTCCCCTTATCCTAACCCTTTCCACATTGCCAATTCCCATATCACTTCCACCTTCATTCATAAGGGGCCCAGTTAACTGGAACCTTTTTTCAGCAAATAATAAACGAAACAATTGACCTCAGAGTATCCCTAAAAACTCCCAAGACCTAGATGATGCGGTTAATTCCTTCACAACCTTGATCCACCAAGCAGTTTGGATTACTTCATCACCTCTTCCTTCCCTGAAATACTGCAAGAATGATCCTTTACCTCAAGATCATACAAACTTCATTCATGCCAAATGATGTTCCAGGACCCGCTGGCAAAGGACCAGGCATCCTGATGACTGGAAATTGTACAACCACCTTTCCAAACTGTTAAAAAATAAATTGGCTACCTTCAGATCCCAATCGTTCAAAGCCCACTTCTCCTTGTTCTCTACTTCTGATAACTCCCTCTGGAAATTAACAAAAAAAATCCTAAAATACCATACCATTTCCCCTCCGGCATGAGGATGACTCATAGGCTTCGTCAGATGAAAACAGGGCAGAGAAATTTGCAAATGAACTATCCAAAACATTTATTCCACATTCTGAACATAATCTCTCTCATACTATCAAAGTTAAGGAATTCCTCTCTTCCCCGATTACTTTCTCCTTACCTCCTAAAGCTGTTAACCCCTCTAAGGTCAAATTCCTTGTAAATAAACTGAAATCCCTGGATACGATCTCCTCACTTCCCAGATCCTTCGACAACATCCTAAAAAAAACTACTATATTCCTTACCGATTTGTACAACTGTATCCTTCATACAATCCACTTATATGGAAACACTCCATAATCATCCTTTTCCCTATATCCAGCAAACCTGTCAATGACCGTCATGTTACAGACCAATAAGCCTTCTCCCAATCCTCTCAAAAATCTTTGAAAAATTCCTTCTCAAACGAATCTTACCCATACTCTAATCCCAAGAAATTCCCTCACATCAATTTGGTTTCTGATCTGGACATTCCACAGTTCAACAAGGCCTTCATGATGTTGATCCTCACATATCCTCTGCACTTAAAGCAAGCAATAGTGAACCTGCGTCTTTCTGGATGTAGTAAAAGCTTTTGACCAGGCTAAGCACGATGGCTTGCTTTTCAAACTCAAAATCCATTTACCTCCTTATATTTAATCCTTTGATCTTACCTTTCCAATAGTTCCTTCCAATAGAAGCTGGTGTCCCTCAAGGCAGCATCTTGGGCCCATTTCTCTATATCCTCTTCACTGCTGACATCCATCCAAATCTCAATACCTTCCTGGCAACATTTGCTGATGATATTGCCATCCTTTCCTCCCACTCAGAACCTGAAATGGCATCCCTAAACCTGGAAAGTCATCTTTCCTTGATTGAGCAGTGGTGCAAGGATTGGTGTATTAAAGTAAATGAAACGAAGTCTAAGCATATCACCTTCATACTCCGACGCAAATCCTTTCCGCAAATATTTTTTAATTCTATACCTCTTCCCTTCTCAGACATTCCGATACCTGGGCTTCCTTCTAGACAAGAGACTGGCTTGGAACCCTCATACGAGACACAAAAGAAAAGAGCTTAACCGACGATTTTGACAATTATATAGACTAATGAACAGAAACTCACATTTTTCCATTGAAAACAAACTACTATAAGACCATACTATGGACGAATGGACTTAAACTGTGGGGGGCAGCTAAATCTTCAACGTCAAACTTATCCAATCCTTTCAATCCAATGTCTTTCGAACAATAGTCTATGCTTCGTACTACATCACAAACAGAACCTTACATCATGATCTCTACATCCCATTTGTTCTCAACGTAATTCCAACCAGATTCTTAAACTTCCATAAAAACCTTATTCATCATCCTAATCCCTTTCCAGCTCCAACCATCCATATAATCCCCCACGAAGGTTGAAATGGCAATGGCCCTCAAGATCTTTTGTAAATATGCTATTGGAGTTCTGGCAGTGGTGCTTTTTATATGGCTTAAGCGCTCTGACTCAGTCTCCACTTGCTTTCATACAGTGATGCGGCTTGGAGAGAAGCACTGGGAACTCAAAGCTGGGAGCAGCAAGGCATGGTTTGGTGTTCCCTAGACTGAATGTAAATATTGTATATAGGAATGAATATGTGACAAGTCATTTTTTTTTTCTTTTATTTCTATTTTTTTCTTTTTACAGTAAATGTTTTTTTTTTTCTTTTTACAAGTATTTTTCTTTTCTTTTAATGTTTATGTTTTTATGTGTGTTTTCTTCTTAACTTGTATTGTAATTTGTATATCAAAAATACCAAATACCCTTGATTGTGACAAAGTGTATTGTTATTATTCAAATAAATCTATCATCTCTCAAAAATTGTCTATGTGGTGTTATTTAAGAACAAATAAATAAACACTTTAGAGATGAGTATATAGTTGTCTGTTGAAATTGTAACAATGAAAAATAGTCAGGATGTACAGTCCAAAAATTATGTTTATTGAGTTAGCTGACGTTGTCATTTTTACAGTTCACCTTATTCTCTTGTACTTTTTATAATTGAATTCTTTGCTTTGTAATCCCTTTTGGGATATTTACATATATTGAGATGTACACTTGACAGTTATTAATATATGTTGGACATTATATTTATTCCATTTTACAGCATGAAGCAGCTAAATTGCCTGATCTCTCTGACTATTGTTCTGTATTGTTAGTGGTATGGGATGTTGATTTCATTTATTTATGGATAACATTATATTTTATGGATATATTGATATGATTATTTTTCTAACTATGAACTTACTTCTTTAATTAAGAATTTAAATTATGTAGATATTGTTGATCATGGATTAACTCTTGGGGATGATAGTTGGTGTGCATATGAAGTTCAGGAATACAGTGAAATGTTGTTTTATTGTGTGTTTTAATATTT